TTTATTTAAGAAAGGACTTGTGTCGCTAAAGTTTCACCGGAAAGAAATTATACGGGAAATTAACTAACGACCAGAGACGTAACAATATATTTGAATAATTAACTTATTAAGAACATAGTTAGATTTTCGAATTAAAATTGCATTTTTATCCATGCATCAAACTGACGCTATTAAGCAAATATATTTTCTTTTGTATGAACAAGTAAAACTTCCAATTTTAAATTGAAATAGTTGTAGCAAAAGATAGGAAACGCATTTCTACTACTCGATAACATGTTTTTAATAAGAGCTTACTCCTGCGTGATCTGTAGCTATAATATTTATCTTACACGTAATTAGGTTTGAATTTCGCGTAAAGCTACACGAGAGTTATCTGTGCTAGCTGTCCCTAGTTTAGCAGTGAAAGACTAGAGGGAAGGCAGCTAGTCACCACCACCCACCGCCAACTCTTGGGCTACTCTTTTACCAACAAATAGTAGGATTGACCGTTACATTATAATGTACCCACGGCTGAAAGTGCAAGCATGTTTTGGTGGGAAGTGGATTCGAACCTGCGACCCTCAGATTGCTAGTCGAACGCCTTAACCACCTTGCCATGCCGGAACAGTAATTAGGGAATTACATAATTCGTAATTTCGGCATTGTTTCATAAAATAAAATATTTGATAAAAAGTCATACAAAACCACAGTTTCGCTATTTTCTACTGACGTTTATAACCGTTTTACTCTCAACAATATATTTCAGCAAAATATTTAAATTTTCATATGGTATAAATATTAACGCAACTATGTTAATGCAAACATCCAGAGGTGTAGTGGGGTGGGTACGCGTGGGCACGGCGTACCTGTACTCTTTTAGCCGGAACGCCACTATTTCGAACGAATCCCACATTATACAGTTAAACGCGTTCCGGCACTTTTTTATTTAGCACTACACCACAACAAATATTAATACACTTTTCCACTCATTATATTAATCCCTTTTCTATCGTCCTTCAGAGAAACAGTGAATCGTTCATGTTTGTCTTTTCGTAAAGAACTGTTTGAATATATTAAAGTTGAAGTACTGTATTGTACCTTCATTATCAACAACCATGACATAAAAAAAATAGTTAGGCCATAAGCAAGATAAAAAATGATAGCTTGGGGCCTCACAATGATGAGTTTAAAATTAAAACGTAATCATAAATGTTTTCTCTGGTGAAAGTTGCAACCAAATATCTGGTGTGTAATCGCTTAACATAACGGTTAAGGACCCAACTATGGCCTAATGAAAACACTTCCAGGGAGACAAGTCCTTCTACACCTCCCCCCACTAGCTCGCAACTGACACATTCTAATTATCCTCTTGCTTAGGGCCTCGCTCTTTCTAACGCCGGTAGTACACCCCATTCATAAGTTAACATCATCATTCCAAAACAAATAAAAGCATCATGGTACTCAACGAGAAAATTAAATATTTTGGACAACTTGGCGCCTTTTTTTTTTTTTTACGTGAAGAAAACTGTCAGTTGTCAACAGTATAGAAGGCCAGACGTGTTTGACTTATTTACAGCTTATGATCGTGCTAAACTTCACAACGTGTACTTTAACCACAAAACGTTTTTTTTTCAACGTACACAAATAAAAATCAACACTGCACACTAACATTTTGGACAATAAGAAGTAGCTAGTATAAATCACATAAGAATAACACAACTGAAACTTTTGAAAGTGATACGGTGGGCACTTTTTGAGCTATATACGTATTCACTAATGACTGAAATTTTACAAATTTAGAATTTTGTGTAAAATCCATATCGTTCATGTTACACAATGTCATTGCCAGTAAAGTTAAATGTTAAAATTTTATGAGATAACCTGTAAGTTTCTCATTTTAAACGATATAAGCAATATTTCACTTAAGTACAAACATTCAAAAGTAAAACATTAAAAAATATATGCAAAACTTACTCGTAAGGTTACACTGCTAGGCTGGTGTATGTTCAAAATACATGAAAATTTTTAAATAGCCTTTCGCCGTTTTTATATTATTATTTACTCAACTATATCACATCAGTATGTGTTCAAAACTACTAATAAATTTCAGCACTAAAACATTTCAAAACTATAGTCAGAACTTACATGTGTTATCGTTTCTTATTAGAGCTTGAAATTTAGGATATTTAGCACTTTATAGATATTCCTGCATAAGACATTTCTGCTTCACACATTATAGCTCTTACTAACTCGTAATTGCGTCCCTAGCTTCTAAACAACTGACGAATCAGTTACTAAGTCCGTTAGGCTTATGCTTGTTTCCAATTGCCAGTATGGTGGCTGTGCTGCCATCTGTGAACAAATACATATAATAAAAATCAACATCTAAAATACCAGCTGTTACCACTAGCGTAAGAATATTAAAATACACAAGTGCAAATTTAATGATCAGTTTAAACATATTAAACCTGCTCCATTTATTACACGATCAACGATTTTCATCAGTATACAAGCTAATAATGATATGACGTTTTAAAAATTTTGACTTATGAATTGTAATAAGTTAGGACTAGGTAAACATGAGTCCCCAGTCTGACAATCATAGTATAGTCCAGAAAATACTTCAGGTAGCAGCACTAGTTGACAGAAAATATTTTCGGAAATGTTCATTCTACTTACGCTTTTCTTGACATACGTGGTCGTACAATTCCAATTAAAAAAACAATATTCATACGTGGTCGTACAATTAAAATAAAATAAAAACAATATTCAAATTGTAATAAACATTAATAAACATCAATAAACATTTTATGAATGCCCAGTTAACTGACACAGTTAATTTAGAATTTGTCAAGATAAGAAAATAGGTGCCGCTATAACTACCATATATGAAGATATATAAAAAAATTAAAGTAAAAAAAACAAACTACAATATTAAAATTCTGGAAGTTTTGAGTTCAAATATTAGGGTTATAAGAAATTATATAATTAAATTACTTAAATAGCGGCGTTATTTTATGTATACAAAGGTAGTGAATTCAACAGCTCGTGATGAACTCACTCAAACATGCATTTTATTTGAAATTTGTAGCTTTTGTTTTTACTATTTGAAAATAAAACGTCTCCAGAACTTGCCCAGTGAAAGTGCCTTTTTGTTCGTTTTTTATTAACACGTATTTCCAGGTTATGCAATAATACTTTAGAATATTCAAAAGAAAGTTGTTTGCTTATTTGTCTCTTTGGTAACCTCAAGGACTTCTTGGGCTAAATGTATGAATTCGATCCCCACTGTGGACGCAGCATAGACAGCCCATTGAGTAGTTTTGTGCTTAATAGCAAATAAATAAAACAGTTTACACTGCATACATTGCACCCACAAGGTTTACAACATATACACGTTAGGCGTTGGAATGCAGGAATGGGTAATGCAGATTTTCCTTCCATCCCAAATGCTCTCTAGTTTCTGGTTGTTGTTGGGTTTTTTCCATTCCTACATCACAACAATTTGAGAATAAAATTTTTTACTAGTTTCTGCACTCTTTACGAGTCGGAGTCTTAGCTTCCAGTGGGGCTGTAATTTCTAAGTGGAAGGCGCCATTACACCAACATATTTAGTTCTATTCTATAGGAAGCCTTAATATAATCCATAGACATTACTTTTTGAAACAAGATAAGTCATGACCAGGATAGGGCGCGGCGCGGTAAGGAGTATACGGTAGATTATCTACTTCCATATAACACACATAATGGCTAGACCAGAGGTGGACAAAATACGGCCCGTCTAACATTTGTGTCCTGCCCGCCATGACTCTTGGCAGTTGTAGAAAGAACATAATGGGGTCTTTATACAATCAATGTTGATGTACTTTAATTAATATAGTAGAAATGTACAGCCCACGACGACTTACCAAAATTTGTGGAGTGCACCATCCCCCTCGCGAAAATTATTGCCCGCTACTGAGCTAGACCGTGATTAGTACTTTGGGCTGTAATTAACATATCGTGGATCACTTGCTGCTCTAGGTATGAAAAGGCACATCCTAGGGAGCAGTGAAGTGTTTTGGTGTCCAGGTTGGTCTTAAGTACACTGTGGTTTACGAGTTACAGCTGACGGAGATGAAGAAAATCGATGTTTTTGCGATCCGTTTTCTAGACGTCAAGGAAGGTTAGCCGAACTTTAGAGGCAGCTTTGTACTTGACTAGCGAAGAGTTCTTCGCCTCGATCCCTTTGGCTGGATTTTGCCGACGTCCTGGTGAACGCGCTACCATACGCCATTTTTTAACCAGATAGGATCGCTCTCTGATAACAACTTATAAGCGTTAGAACCATTTCTACATATAGGGGTAGAGCGTTGGAACCATTTCTATATAGAGAGGTAGAACATTGAAACCATTTCTATATACAGGGGTAGAGCGTTAGAACCATTTCTACATATACGGGGTAGAGCGTTGGAACCATTTCTATATAGAGAGGTAGAACATTGAAACCATTTCTATATACAGGGGTAGAGCGTTAGAACCATTTCTACATATAGAGGTAGAACATTGAAACCATTTCTATATACAGGGGTAGAGCGTTAGAAC